GGGGGCAGCAAATGTTCTTCAAGCTCGGGATGGATTGGGGAAAGTGTGTGGGGTGGGACCCACACACTCTCCCGATGGGGTTATCTAGTTACCAAGGCCAGACGCCAGGGTCCTTGGCGTCTAGCCCCTTTACCACGTCAGCAGGTCAACGGGCAGGCGGGCAGTGCGGGCCAGGGGCTAGACACCAGGGTTCATGGCGTCTGCTTTGCAACCCAGACGCCAGGGATGTTGGCGTCACCTAAAAAGGTCAGATTTTTTTTCAAAACAAGGTCAAATCATGATTTTGTTAGCCACATAGGTCAGAACAGTAATTTTGTCCGTGGGTGGTAGTAGTTGATAAAGATATAATGCGAGATAAAGTAGCCTAGTGCAGTACCACCAACGAAAAGTTCTTCAGATGGCAATGTACTCCCTCGGTTCCTAAATATAACAGCAACTCCAATGTGGCGACCCATTTCGTCCGCCGCCGTCCATTTGGGTCGGCACGGACATACAAGTCGGCCCAACGCGCCGATCCAAATGGACGCGCGTCCGCTTTCGTCCGCCTGCCGACCCATTTCCGACCCATTTTTGAGCCGGATTTGCGTTGGCGTGGATACAAGACGGACGCGCGCGCTCGCCCTCTCTCCTGCCCGGGCCCACTGGTCTATGGCGCACACCCTCCACCGCCTGCTTCGTCGCCGATGCTGCCGGCCATTTTTTTGATGAAAAATGGATACATTGATAGTTCTTGTGTACACAGATAAAAAGAAGATCAACTACTCGTCGGTTTCTGACTCCGACTCGGTAATGTCCTCCTCCGACGTCTGAATGTAGGCGTCAGTAGCCTGCTCGTCCTCGAAGTCCCACCTCGATGTTTCTCGCAGCTTCAGTCTCAATTGAGCGGCCTGCTTCCACGCACGTTTGTCCTCCCGATAGGCGGCTCGCTCCGTCCTCCTCGCCTCCCTCTCCGTCCTCCTTTGCTCGTAGAACTGGCACTCGTCGACGATGTCGTGTGGGAAGCGTTCGCGCCACACCACCAAGGCTTCCACGTCCATCTCGGCGATGGCGAGGCGACACTGCCGCCTCTGATGGGTGCGATGATCCTCGTCGGTGAAAAGCCGCGGGAGAGGCGCGAGATCCTGCGCCCGCTGGCTCGACACGTCAGGAAAATTCATCTCCCGACTAGGCCGCTGGAGGCGCCATGCCGTCGCGTTGTACGCGCGGGCCGCCTCCTCTGCGGTGTCGAAGGTGCCGAGGATGAGGCGTTTCTCGCCAAACAAGATCTCGGCGGAGAAGGCGGCGGAGAGGCGCTTGCGGACTCCACGAAAATCCGAAGCGCCGAGGCGGCGCATCGACATGGTGGCGCAGAGGCGGCGAGGCTAGTGAGAGGGGGCGAGACGAGTGTGCAGCGGACTGAGTGTGGAGGGAGTGCC